CTCCAGAGCTATATGCAGTATTCCAGGTGGGGTCTCACAAGGGTGGAGTAAAGGGGCAGAATCACCTCCTTCAATTTGCTGGCCATGCTTCTTTTGATGCAGCCCAGAATGAGGTTGGCCTTCTGGGCTGCAAGCGCCCATTGCCAGCTCATGTTGAGCTACTCATCAACCAAGCACATCAAACTCAGCACTTGCCAGTGAAGACCTAGGCAAAAAAGTCATTGACTACCTCAGCCTTCTCCATATCCCAGATAACCAGGTGTCCTGTTTCTTTCTGGAGAGGGCCCACATTTTCCCTAGTCTTCCTTTTATCACTGATGTACCTGTAGAAGATTTTCTTGTTGCCCTTGACATCCCTGGCCAGATTTAATTCTATCAGGGATTTAGCTTTCCTAACCCGATCCCTGGCTGCTCAGACAATTTCTCTGTATTTCTCTCAGGCTACCTGTCCTTGCTTACACCCTCTGTAGGCTTTCTTTCTGTGTTTGAGTTTGTCTAAGAGCTCCTTGTTCATCCATGCAGGCCTCCTGATGTTTTTTGCCTGACTTCCTCTTTGTTGGGATGCATCACTCCTGAGCTTGGAGGAGGTGATCCTTGAATATTAACCACCTTTCTTGGGCCCCTCTTCCCTCCAGGTTTTTATCCCATGGTACTGTGCCAAGCAGATCCCTAAAGAGGCCAAAGTCTGCTCTGCTGAAGTCCAGGGTAGTAAGCTTGGTGTGTGCCCTAAGGATCTTGAACTCTACCATTTTGTGGTCACTGCACCCAAGGCTGCCCTTGAGCTTCACATTCCCTACCAGCACCTCCTTGTTGGTGAGAACAAGGTCCAGCATGGCACCTCTCTTCCTTGGTTCGTCTATCACTTTCTAACATCATGTGATTTCTTCAGAATATAGAAGTGCATTGCTTCCTGTGAGGATGCACTTACAGTTCTGGTTAATGGAAGTCTCCTTCCACCAACACTTTCTGGTATTTTTATCCTGCTGCTTCTATATACTGCTTTCGGTGCTTAAAGCATAGGGATCATCCATAACACTGGCATTGCCAGCAATGAAAAATCAGAAGTCAACCTTCAGTCAGCCCTGGGATGATTTCAGGGCCACCATATCACCAGATTTCCCTATAAATAATAATGTTTCAAAGAGTGATGAGCTGCGTATTTTATGTCCTCCTCAGGAAAGTTATTTTTGGGCTTTGATTACTAGGGTCTCATTGAGATCAGTGGTAACAGTCTTCTGGACTTTGGTACTATCTCTGATCTGTAATTTTTCAAGTATAAAAGAAATTAAAGGTAAAATACAGCATTTTTGCAGCATAGTGTTGCATCTTGCATCCAGTTATGAAACAACTTGACAGATTTTTTTAATCTATTCAGCTCTACCAGTAGTTAACATACTGAAATTTATCTAGTTCAGTTTTAGTTTTAATTTCTCTTCTGTCTCTCTACTTCTGTGCAACTGAAGGCAGTAATACTGCCTGCAAAATATGTCATGCTTAAAACAAGAGGTACAAAGATGCTAATTCCACTAGGGTTAGTAGAAATCTTGCCATGAACTACATTAAGATTGGGATTTCATTTACTGCATTGCTTACCACATATTGCATAACTAATCCTTGTGTGCTGGGGAGATGCGAGTTCCAAAGTTACTTAAGTACATTTTTGATTTTTAAATAACACTTGTCTTTTGACAATCACTTTTACTTTGATATCTGTTCCTAAAACCACCTCTTGTGGGTAGAAAAATAATACTACTAATTTCACTGACATTTTGGTAATAGTATAATTTTCTGCCAGTAATTTCATATTTTTTCCAAATAGAAAATTATTTACTCAAAATTCCTTCTTTCCTTTCTGTGTCTGGAGGCTGTCTATGTGGCTTTCCATTTACGGGCCATGTTGAATATGGAATACAACCATGTGCATATATAAACCATGCATATTGAGTTTCTGCCTAATCTTCCAGTTTACTGTAGCTATGGACTCTCTATCACTCTCAAGAAAAAAAAATATATACTGAATATGAAACCTTAAGTCAAGGGCCAGAGAGTTAGAAAGATTTTGTAGCTGGATCAGCAGCACACTGTACTTCAGGCACCAACCTAAAAGCAGAAGCAGAATTGCAGTTGATTAAAGAGTAATCACGGGATTGCCCAGAAAATATAGCCCTTCTTCAGTGCCTCTTAAAAGATTCATTATTCAGTCCCAGGTGCAGTGTGTTTTGACTTATTAGTAACTGCAAAAGAAAACAGGGAAATGTCATTTTTTGATTTCTATCAGTGCGTTCAACTTTGATTACTTTGGAAGATAGGCTCTTATTCCAAGGCATTTGCAATCTAAGATCAGATTTTGGCACCCTTGCTCATGCTGAATAGCATTAGTCAGGGCTGAGCTGCTGCTCATTCAGGTCACATAGATCAGAATTAGTCATCAGTTGAGATGGTGGTGTTCAAACATCTTTGCATGAGGCAGTGATGCCAATGTTTTTCTGCTGCTTTTTTTCTGTTTATCTGTACCTCTTTTTTATATAAGCACCATAAAAACCCCTTCAGTTAAAAAAAAAAAAAAAGTGCTTTGAGCAGGAAATTGAATGAATTAAACTGTTTGGCATTCAAAGGATGAGGAGGGATTTTGTACAGAAAGAATAGCATGGAAGAAAGCCCCTTATACCAAACACAGTCCTAAGAAACAAACCCTAAAGGTTGGCAGGTTTTCACTGGACTGCCAGTAGATGAGCAATGATTAGTTTGCCTTTTTAAAATGTTGTCTCCTGCCAACCTCAAATCCCCTTCTCCCATTTCCAGTGCAGCATTGAGCCTGCAGGATAAGTGGATGATGAGGTACACACTTGTGGTGTGGAAGGGATTCAAACAATGTGAATGAGATTTTGATCTTCTGGGACTTCTGTGATACAGAGAGTGAAGAGGAGGAAAGACAAACTGGTCTTCATTTGTAGAAAAGGCTTTCATCTTTTCTGTGCTGTGTGGCTATGGCCGAGGAGAGACGAGGGGAGTTGTCTTCCTGCTTATATCAAATTGCCAGGCCTTTAATTTTGACCAGATGCACCATGCAATTATGGCCACTGATGGATAGTTACAAATGAATTAGTCTTTGGCAAACTGAACTTTATTTCAAGTAAGATCAGCATCACAGAAGATACAGGAAAGCAAATTTTGTGATGGGATCAGTGCATTTTTTAAATGCTCCGATTTCTTGGCAGAATGAAAGGACGCATTAGTCCAAAGAGGCAAAGTATCCTAATTTCTAAGCATACCTCTGGAACAGACGCCTTGCTGCTCTTCCCGCAGAGCAAGCAGGACTAAATACCGATGGGCAGTCTGAACCTTGCCTCTGTTTGCTGAACTTTCCTTTTTGCTGTGGTTCATATTGGGGTAATAGGTAGCATTCCTGACACTGCCATTGCGCTCCCCACACTAATTGTCATGAAGTACAGAAGGTTCAAGCATGCTCGGTTCCCAAGGCTGCTAATGAGCCCTCAGCTCTCCTCACCCTTAATGAACTACGGTTTGTTTGTGGGGGATTCTTGTCCGTCCCTCCTTTTCCCTGGCCAGGGGAGGAGGCAAGAGTTCACACAACCGAACAATGACTTTACAGTGTAAAGACGACGCAGCTGTGCCATCTGAAGCCGTCCTCGGTTATGAGCAACAAAGCTTAAATAGATTGTACTGTGAAGAGGTACAGCTCTGCGAGTGTGAAGCATAGCTTTTGCTTCTGCTTCACTGACCCGTCTGCTTGCGGCAGCGACGGGCCCTTGACGGGAGCTTAGGCAGGGAGAGCTGCGGAGGGCGAGTCTTTCAAAACCACTCTCTGTAACGCTGAGCGCAGGGAAGGAAGCAAAATGAAGTTTCAGTTGATCTCTGATGGGGGGGGGCATACTGCTGCGTTCTCCAGAAAATCCCATGCCCTCCATTTAGAAGTCATTGGTTCCTAATCCACTTCAGGTGGTTAATAAGGCCACTAAAGCAGGCGGTAGTGCCTAAGTTTTAGCAATAGACAGTACTCACCACAAGTGCAGGCACACACACACACAAACCCCTAAGCAAATCACTGTCTTACTCTCTAGAGGTGCTTCATGTACTATAGGTTAGGATCATCAGAAATTTTGGCTAAACTACTGTTTCTCATTTCTTTCACCTACCTTTTTTTAGGCATTTCAGTTATGACACTGTGTCATCCTGTGGCTATATTAATCTTTCTGCAAATATGTAGTGCTATATGTTTGTGCATACATGTACAGGTACACATGCACAAAAATACAGGTGCATATAAATACAGCTACACATGTTCTTGAAATACACAGGAGTATAATAATATACGATATATTTATGATATGTATATGTTATATGTAAAAATATCACATGCTTTCCTAGAAACATTACTCCCTGTATATATTCAGATATATATTTACACAGGAAAACACAAACGTACTCTAAGTGCTGTACTCTTGCTATAATAGCAAATGAAAATTTCAATCTGGGAAAATAACTGTTAATTGTAATAGCAGTGAGAGATTTAAGGGTACCAGTTATAATACTCTGGACTAATCCTTGCACAATGCTATACAAAGGTGAAGGTTTTTTTAAAAAAGTTTTACTGGTAGATTAGTGAAAACAAAAGCAGCATCTGCAGAAGAAATCTAATTTTTCTGTAATAGGCTGTTTGAAGGTCATCATTTTGGTTTTTAATAATGCACAGAAACATCTGCTGTTTTCCTCGATTGCATGAGAGAGAATGGGAAAGAGAAAGGAATTAAGAAAGAGCTTTTCTTTTGCTTTCTCAAGTGAACAGAGGCAAGAAAATAAATAAAGCAGTCCAGATTTAAATACCTTGATGTGTGCATGTGCAGGTTCAAAACTTTAGATTGCTCTCCCTCCCGGCGTGGTGGGTTGATAGCCCTGGGAGCAGTGGCGAAAGTTGACAACCCCCCACGGCTGACCCCTCATGTTCTCTCTCGCCTAATCGAATTTTACGTGTGTTTCCAGATAGCTGATCAGCTTCCCTGGATTTCGCTGACGCCACAGGAAAGCTTTGCCTGAAGATGGAAACACTGGAGTCGGAACTGACCTGCCCTATCTGTCTGGAGCTGTTTGAAGACCCGCTGCTGCTGCCTTGTGCTCACAGCCTCTGCTTCAACTGCGCGCACCGCATCCTGGTCTCCCACTGCGCCACCAACGAGCCGGTGGAGTCAATCACCGCCTTCCAGTGCCCGACCTGCCGCTATGTCATCACCCTCAGCCAGCGCGGTCTAGACGGGCTCAAGCGCAACGTCACCCTGCAGAACATCATCGACAGGTTTCAGAAAGCCTCGGTCAGCGGGCCCAATTCCCCCAGTGAGACCCGCCGGGAGCGGGCGTTCGATAGCAACAGCATGTCGTCCTGCGAGAAGGTGCTCTGCCAGTTCTGCGACCAGGACCCTGCCCAGGAGGCAGTGAAAACCTGCGTTACCTGCGAGGTGTCCTACTGCGAGGAGTGCCTGAAAGCCACTCACCCCAACAAGAAGCCCTTCACCGGCCATCGTCTCATCGAGCCCATCCCGGACTCTCACATCAGGGGATTAATGTGCTTGGAGCACGAGGATGAGAAAGTTAATATGTACTGTGTGACCGACGACCAGTTAATCTGTGCCTTGTGTAAACTGGTTGGGCGACACCGTGACCATCAGGTGGCAGCTTTAAGTGAGCGCTATGACAAGCTAAAGGTTAGTGCTACCTATTGGCCTTTATAGTCACGGAGAGTATAGTTGGGAAGGAAAGTGCCCTTCGGTTGCATGCTAAATTCCTCATTTGGGCAGGGGTTGGGGAAGGGAGGTGCGCGTTCTCTAATCAGATGAGATACACATACAGATCTATACATGCATTTTGCTCATCACCATTGAAAAGGTGTCAGATTTTGCGTAAGGAAAGATTCCTCAGTTGTGCTTTGCTTCCTCTATAGCTATCATAAGCAATATGCAGCATATACTACTGTTTAGGTGAATTTTCTTATCTACCTACAGCTTTATTTGTGGCAGCTGGCACGGTTTAGCGCTGACTGCACACACACAGGCGCTGATTGAAATGTCAGGCATTCTTTGCTTGCGCTCCGCTGTTGATTATTTTTCATTTGGTCGCTTTCATTGTGAAAAGACCTTTGCATCACTGCTAACAGGCGATGCATTTATCCGTGCCGGCTTCAGGGATGCCAGCTGCCCACCCAGCCAGGGAAACCGAATGCCAGCTCTGCTCTTCTCGCGCTGCCTCCTACCCGGGCTTGCAGGCGGCGCAGTCCTGGAAACAAAACCGAAATTGTTTCTGAGCTTCTTGCAGCATTCCCACAGTTCGGTGAGCTTCTGGCACATGCCCTTGCCAGGTAGCCAGGGGGCTCCGGCATCCCATTGGCCCCACGCAGGATGCCCTGGGTGGGGTGGAGGTGGGCAGCCAGGTCACAGGGCACTCCGGTGGCTCTGCAGGCTGCCGGCGGAGGCACAGCTCCCGCTGAACAGTGAGGCCACTGCGAGTGGCCTCCCACCCATCTGGCTGTATGTTCCTCTCATGCTGATTTGGGTGCTGCTGCAGAGCAAAGGCAGGAATTAAGCACCCCACGTTTCCCTCCACCCACTCCCCCCAGACGGTCTGCGTGTGCCTGTGCGTGGCTTTGGGGGGGGCGGGGGCATGGGGAGGTTAAAGATGGACTACCATCGAGAAATCAAAAGCGTGGAGATGATATGCCAGCCTTCCCCCGCAGAATTTCAGAGGTGGAAAAAGAGACTGAATTAATAGGTTTAACTAAGAGGGTTTTTCTCAAATACCTTCAGACAAAGATAAGTGGCTGCACATGTCTGGGATAACTTTATGTGAGTGAGTGTAAAACCTGCACCCACAGGCTGTATGTGGATTTTGTGCCTCTGTGCACGTGCAAACATGCAGGTCATATTCTCTGATTGTAGTAACATAATGGAAGATGCTTCTTCACCTGGACCTGACAGCTTCCTTTCGTCTCTTAAACACTGTTGTATTTACTAAGGAGGACTTGTTATTTTTGCTTTCTGATCTGGTTTGTTAATAGGTAAGAGTTTGGCCATTGATAAAATGGGACATGGACTATAAATGCGAATAGAAGGTGCATGGACTTACAGTGCTTTTCAGTAATCTAGCAGGTTTATCTCCTTAACAGGTGCTACTTTTTAGTAAACTAACAGTGTATCGTTTATCCACTTTATATGAGTAGGAATGCAGTACTTAACATGAAATACTTTCAACATTAAATACTGGATAAGTATATTTTTGAAGTTGTAAAAAAAATAGTAAACATTTCTCAGTGTTGATTTATGCACATATGGCAAGTCTTGAAAGAAGGCTTTAAAAGGCATGTCTCTTCTCTTGAGATTTTTGACTTAATATTGCAGCTAGTTAGGGAAAAAAATGAGGGTATTTTTGCGTGATCTATGACTTTTCTGTGTAAAGATGCCAAAGCAAACTCTGAATGGGTATCTCAGACAGGCAAATAACATTCACATTAGATGGTACTCAGTCCAGCTAACTTGGCAGAAGCCTGACAGAGTACTTTCTGCCAGCCTCCTTGAAGAGTAGTTCAAGTACTAATTTAATGGTTAGCATAGGCCTGGGTCAAATACCTCTTTCCTTATAATGGCAACTCCTATCACTGTTTATAAGACCTGTACATTTTTTATTTTTTTTTTTGTGTGGACTTTCTTTGTATCTAAACTATCTAAAAGTAGTTTATACAAACTATTATTAATCTACATGAAATCCAGTTACATGAAATCCTCTTTATCATGAGGCAGACTGTTTCACTTTGCTAATGCCAGTGATGGCTAACTATGCCAGTAGTCGTGACACATTTATACTCTGAGCCCAGGAACAATAGGCTAGGTGGGTTCCATCCAGATCCAGAGTCCACTCTCTGTTGACAAGAAGGTAATCTGAAAACCATGTCTTTCCTGTCTTCATGGCATCTTCCATCCCAGAAATTTGTGCTGGTTTATGTATCAAACTCCGAGAATGAGATTTTCAGTTCAGTAGATTGGCACTTATCCCTCAGGAGTAAAGGAACGATACCTGTTCACACCAGTGTTTGGTAGCTGACAGGCGAGAATTTCAGATCCGTTTTCATGTTCAGGCCTCCTCCTTCATAAATGGTGTTACAACCTCTTGAGTCACTGGCTCTGCTGCTAAAGTAAATGTTAGGTACGAGCTTGCAGATGGTCTTTGTTAACTTACACATAATGTGCACGTGCCATTAGCAAATTCGATGTTCAGGTGGATCACAAAATCCCTACCTGAAAAAATGGATTCTTGCTTGCTATATTGCTGTCGCGAGTTTTTAAAATACATGGGGTTTGATAGACAAGCTATCTAAACCTTTAGAAAAAAATCTGAAAGAATGAGCATGCGTTAGCCAATAGTATAGTGGATTCATTCAAAAATGGGTGGTTAATTGTATCTTTAAAAAAGAAAAGCAAAACTGCTTCAAGCGACAGTTTCTGTCTTGTGATTTTTCTTTTTAAATCGACACATTATTGATGCTAACAACAGCAACTGGTGTTGCTCTGGGTGTCAAGCTATGCTAATTACTTGCATTTTCTTCCAGTGGTGTTACTAATTATTCAAACAATATCTCACCCTTCAGTAAGCATAGGACAAAAGATGCCATTACAATCTAGCTCCTTTTGTGGCAAAAATGAAACCCCTTAATTAGGAGTTCTGTACACTTGTCCAACAGAGACAACTATGCTGAAGTGTGTTTAACAGTCAATGTAACAGCAATTGTGGACATCTGAAAATGAGAAAGTGTTTTCCTTTGGCAACTACGGCTCCAACCCTGAGAGGTGCTTTTCTTTCTCAGCTTGTACCAGGGTGGAGGGGGTTGTGTTCTTCCAGGAGCAATCCTTTCTGGCTTAGTTACGTGATCACATGGTGTACCTTCACGCTTATACTTGATTCAGTATTTACAGATTTGGTGTTGGGTTTTTTTTTTTTTTTTTTAAGTAGATCATAGAGAGATGCATTTTAAAAATGGAAAAATCATAAACCAAGACCAAAACAGAGAACAGGAAATATCCTGGTGATCTGCTGAATTTGTGAGGTGGTGGTTAAAATTGCAGTATAAATTAGAAATAATTTTTAGCTACATAAAAAATGAGAGCTTTAAAAATAGAAGGTGCAAAAGCTTACACTTAGCCCACCATATTACCTCAAAGAAAATATTTGTGGCTAATTACTTTTGATATTTATTATTTGTTTTTTTGTCTTGTTGCAATGGAAAGTAAAAGACAATTGAAAAGCATGTCTACTTTTTTTAGAGAAAATTCATAAAATTACCATTGTTCTATAGATGTGTTTAGACTCAAGAAAGTGATGAGTGAAAAGATAAGATTAGTTTTGAACAAAAGAGTTCTTTACAGGAGAAGTTACAAGGTGTGGATGGAATGATATCGCTCATTTAATATTAGCGAATAGCCATGAAGAGGTGTAACGAAAGAGGAAGATTTATGGTAAACCATGTTTTTAAATGGTGTAAAGCCAGCATAACTCCATTGAAACAAATCTTTTTACTCACTTTCATATTTACTGAGAATCTGGCCACTGATGCGTATATTCTTGCCAAAAACTAATTTCGGCCCAATTTCTGTACCGCTTAGTCAAGAAAGATCTTTTGTTGAATTGAACTGCTGTAGGTTAGCTGTGGTTCTCCATGTTTTTGTTTGAATCTTATTAGTGCTGACGTGTATTGGGCATGTTTACGAAGGCAGTGCAGCCCTCTGAATGGCACTCAGCAATTCCAGGAACAAAAGGGAGCTTCTTATTTGTGTGTTTTTCACCTAGTTTAGCACCAGAATCCATACACATCTATCTTTCCTACATTGTTGATTCAGGATGCAAGGATTTGGTTTTCTACGGTGTGTCAATTCAATTACTCGCAAGTATTTTTTTGGTGGGAAGCAGCCATAAACTGTTTCCACATAGGGAGAATTGCTTTTAACTCTAATAAACCCACTTTGACTGTCAAAAGGTAGGAGACTTTGTCAACTCCACAGCTTCTACAAATAGAGCACAAAAATATGTCTGCTTCCGTGCTATGTATATTATGAATTAAAAAACTTTTCATATTTAAATATCTTTGCCGAGATACCAGCAAAATATGTGTTGAAGCTTTGCAAGTATTTTTATTTGGCGTTATTTTGTAGTTGCCGATTGATCATTAATTGGTATACTATGATACCATAAGAACCCTGCACGTATAAATCTATACTCATACAAACAGTGGGATTGACAATCTGGGAACACTGGTCTCTGGATTTACATATAAATATATTATGTACATACACGTAAATATATATCTATATAGATTTTATTCATTTTGTGCACGAATTTATAGTGCTTGTGTTAGTCTATAAAGGCAATACTAAATATGTTTGTATGTATGTGTGTGTAGACTTGTTTTTCTAGCATAGAAATACATGTAATTTCTAGTAATGTCTAAATTCATGAATATCTAGAATCTTGAATTTGAATAAATACATGTATAGCTATATTTTAAGCAAGTATATACAGTTTCATATTTATGTTTAGGTCAGCAAAATATATTTGATCACATAGATTTATAAACTACATGTTAATTATTTTACTGGGTATCCATTTTTAATATTCCATGCATATATCTTCTTATAGTAGCTGAATATTTTCACATCTAAATTTA